TTTTGGGAAATCAAAAAAACTTCGGCTTAATGCAATTTCGGCTTAGTGTGGCTTCGGCTTATCGAGTTTCACTTGTAGTAATGAATGCATCAATCGGCACTATTATTATAGGAACCAAGACTTTGTTTTGCAAGATGTCGAATAAACTAAATTGCAAGAATAGCAAACGTGAAGTCAAACAATTTCTTTATAGTTAAAGTTTACCACGTTAATATTGTTGTCGTTAATTATATTTCTTGTTCTGAGATTAAAAAATGTAATGCATATTATTTATTGCAGCAATTTTGTATTAATAACCACTAAAATATGCTCGGTCATGTATTACATGTATCACCGCGCAGGGGTTCATACACAATTTGCATTGCTTTGAGGCTTTCGTATCGACGTAATACCCTTTGTAATAGTATCCAACACCAAACTTTGTCAATACAATTTCGCTGCCCTCTTTTTCAGTTACTTTCGCAAGCGGTAGTCTTATTTTCACGTTGATTTGTAAAAATGATATTTCGACTAACTTGTGTATCGTTGCAGTATATGTGATTATGAATACTAATAATATTAAGGTCTGTGCATACGAAAAGCTTGTCACCGCACTTTAACTAAAAATTTAATAATAGTATCGCAGTTAATTACTATTATTAGTAAAACTTTATAAATCTAATTGTTAATACTTTGCTGATGCAATAAACGTTCTTTCTGGGGTGGGAAAAGAACATCCAACAATCCAAACACCTTTGCGTATCTTTTTATTTCACCCCAGCGTAACCAAAAGAAGGATTAAAGTTTATACAAAACTTTGTAGTCCAAGGAGAGTAAGCATACAGGTGAGTAGTGATCGTGCCATTGGTGCAATAAATATAGACAGACATGTAAAATTGCTTAATCAGCGATTCGATGGTGAGCATTCTTGCCTCGACCTTAGAAGCAATGTTGCACGATGATTATTTTTTTCTATTGGGGGTAAATATTTCAAGTCTTCTTATGCCAAGATCAGAGAACGTGACACAGTACCGAAATCGACCATCTCCGCCAAGAAATATCATGCCTTTCCGGGACTCTTGACGTATTGCACTGAACGATCGACACATAAAATTCCACATTAATCAATCGAATTCGGTTTTTGAGATGCAATAGAAATGGATTGGTGTTAGTGCATGTACGTATATAATAGGTGTATTTAAGTCCGATACCTAACACAAAGATCATAATGCATTCAGCCAATAGACATTATCTTTAAAATTCTTATAGTCATTCGGCATTCCAATAGGCAGTTGACTAGAATAGGGTGGAAAGCTCGTTATTATACCAAAACAAAAGTATTTGCCGAATGTCGGGGGGAAAAGATTTAACACGAGTGCCAAGATTTATTTATCGAAAGAGTCTTACTTTATAAAGGCATGTTGTTACCGGTTTTGTCAATAAATGCGTTCCAATTTAAGACACTCTTAAAATGAGCTTACAAGTCTTTTCATTATTACAGAATTGCGGCAAGACTCTCACAAAATTTTACTTTCTGCAATGACACTCTCCCCTCTCTCCATACTCTCTGTGGACGATAATTAAAAGAGGAGAATCCATTCCATTCGTACTGAATGGGTGCTACTGCAATTAGATTCTTGAGAACATTTGTATATACACAAATATGAATTACCGTCTTTCATTGGCCGGAATTTATTGAGACTGACAAAACCGATGATCGGAAATTCATCATCGAAGAACTTGTAAATAGAGTAACAAAAGATAACCTATCCTGGAATATCCATTATGCGTCAAAACCTTACATCACAGAGATGAGCAAGCGTTGGGGCCTTCATTTGAACCACGGAATGTTCAAATTTGGTATTAAGGGTCGTATATATTAATATATACAGATCAGATCAGATCTTCAGTACCCATACCCGCAGAAAAGATAATGAAAGAAGAAGGCAAATCCATCCTTGTTTAAAAAGTGCTCTGACCCAAATTGGTTCAAGTTTCAAAGTTGATATAGCAGTTAATTACCATCATTTGATCTCATTCAGTGCGTGTTCCTTATCTTGTATTCTACTGCGGGTATCAATAAAACTAATTAATATGTGCTAATTTAACGGTTTAGTAAAACCCGAGACTAATATTCCCTTCTTCGAGTACATTTTTGTAGTAACACTGCTATTTTAGTGTATTTCGTATGTTTATAAATATGCATCCGATCTAACTGTAATTGCATCTGTAGCACCAATGTGTGCCATCAATATTCATTTTGTATTATAGGAAACAGTTATATAGACAGTGCACTGCACACTGATCATTCCCGCAACCAGTATGTGTCCCTATAAACAATAAATATTGCTTATTTAATTTCATTTAATTACTTCTTTCTAGATTTTAGCGTCCTTTGTCACTCTCCCCTTATAATATGACCGCATTCTCTTCGCCCCAGCAGCAGTTCCAGGTGACTGCTCGCAACTTAATAACAGACGACACAGCAGGCTCAAATCCGTCTACAAGCACGCCCATCACAAGCGCAGCCACCGCAAACTCAATATCAAACATTACCCCCACCCTCGTTACGCCACTATCCACCTCAACTCGCCTACTCCATAGACCTCGACCAGAGGCTTCGTCGTCTACTTCAACTCCTCCTACCATACCCCCTCGATACCATTCAACCGCTGAAACTGTCACCTCGAATACGCTCTGGAAGCAAAACACGGCATCGATGTCGTCGGGAATATCTAGTATCCACAGTCCACACAACTACTCGCATAACAATCGCAAAACTCACTCTCTCGACAGCACAAACATTCACATTCCTTCTCAAAGACCCTCCCTTCCCTGCTCATTACCCTACACACCGCATTATCACTCATATTCCACCGAACACTTTGACCGAACATATTCTGTTCAAGTAACACGGCGAAAAAGAGAGCTTTTGTTACGTAAATTGCTATCTGCGTCATTCATAGCTTGTTTGACTGCGATACTAGCTTATTTTTATTTCTCTTCCTCTAACACGAGTAGACAATTGTACAATAGTAAACATGGATACGGAAATAGCATACGCACAAATAATATAGATAACATCAAGAACAATGATCAAACTGACCAAAGATATTTCGCTCATAATCAAGCTGATACCCATAAAGACATTTTCTCTTCCGATAGCTCTAGAACCTCACATCCAACAACTCATGCAAACGATATAATTCTCTACCGCATTCTTGGCAATGACCTCCCCCCAAGACACAAAACTGGTCAAACGCTACAAAATCTCAAATTCATACTCGACAACGAAGAGCCCTTTCCTCGGACTACAAAGTACTGGATTCTCAATCGTATATTTGACCAATCTTACGAAAAGGCCTTGATCAATTTATTAGAGGCTCGCAATCAGTCGTATCTGAGAATACCTTTTGAAGTCGATGAGTATTTGAAACACGATTTCAGATTGGAAGATTTTCCCGAGTCGGATTTCTTTCATTCAGAAGAGTTTAGTAGGTTTACCAATGTTGGCAAACTAAGGACCATGGATCATACGTATTATGACAAGAATCTATATGTTATGAATAATGTAAGTTAGAGGAGAAAAGGAAAAAAGGGTGGCGCAAATGGGTGGAAAATATGAGGCATTTTTGATGCGAGTTATCTGGTTTTACGATGTTAACAGATAATCAATAGCTGTTCGTTACAAGAGAGAATTTGACTTACAAACTTTCTGCTTACAAAATTTTCTAGAACGGAGGTCGTAACGCTGCCATTCAACACGGAAAGCTTTTACCCAACATCCGTTGGATTTTTCCGCTCGATGGCAACTGTTTCCTTACAGCCAACGCCCATGCTGATATCATTAGGCAACTCGATAGTTACGGCAACGATTACAAATATTTCATTATCCCTATGGCGAGGTTGGTGAACAATACACAATTGCTAGTGAACAAGGATGAGCGACCGTCCACACCAGAGGAGCCGCAGATTGTGTTTAGACACGACGCTGAAATGGCTTACAACTCGGGCATGAGATATGGCAGGCGATCAAAGGTAAGGAAAAGGATTTACGAGGAAACAGGAAACAGGAAACAGGAAACGCCTAATATCATATATTCACAAAAAAGTCTGCTTTCTATCGTTACAATAATGACTGACACTCTTTCATATTAATAGCTTGAACTCCTCTGGCGCTTAGGCGTGCCCCCGCGCTCAACCCATCACAAGCAACCTGTTCCGTGGGAAGTTTCGCACCCTGCTCCCTCACCGCCATCTTCACCTCTCTACAAGTCTGCCGGTTGGGTTTTCCGCTTATTCTCTGGTCATTCTGCCCAGGAACTTCCCCAAAAAGAAGCTTCAACACTACGTGCGCTCAACCGTCTCCTTGCAATACAGGGCTTCATCGACAACGTAGATGAGACCATTGCGAGAACCGTCCAAGGATTCAATCCTCACAAATTATGGATATACGATGAGGAAGAGTTCGAAAAAGTAAAATTAAATTTGTGGGTGGGTGACCAGAAGACCAAGAAATTAGTGAGCTTTTTGGCTGACAGAGCAAATATGATTGCAAAAGATATTGAAAAGGATGTTGTCGTCGTTGAGAAAAACGTATGGGCTTTGGGAAATGGATTAAGGAAATGGAATGATCGAAACGCGGACAGAGATGATGCAAAATTTAATATAATGTCGGAAAAATATAATCAAGAACATTTGAATAGAGAAAACAAAGACAAAGGACAATTTGTAGATAATATAATAACTTATACTAATTGCCAGGAGCGATCGCAGGAACGAGAGCTCGGCGGAGAAGTCAATAATGGGCATTATTTAGCTACTCCCGACGCACATACTCAAGCAGGCTCGAAGTCACATCATTGTACACCATCACTCTCGACAAACAATATGCATCTCGCACCTTTATTCGAAAACATCACTACGCTAACCTTATCCCATTATTTCTCCTCGAACGATGTGCATGCAAGACACGCAGCAAATCTCATCCGATGGGTGTTACTGTCGTCTTATGCTGTGGGCGATCAGAACGATCCCGATGTGGTTCATAGTACAACGGAGAGTGAAACCGATCAATATCCGGATGAGGGATATGCGTTCCCGGCTTTGCACAGGATACCGAGAGTCATGGAGAAGTACGCGAAACTAGATTATAATATGAGATATGAAAACGAATACGAGGATCCCAGAAAGGAGAACCAGAACGGAAAATTCAGCAAAGAAGAGGACGAGATAGTAAAGGAGCTACTTCGAACAGATTTGTCACATTTTCTCGATTCTTGTAGACTTCTCTACCGCTCGCATGCCCTATCTCATCACGAATACCTCGAACTCAAATCACTAGCTTCCACTTGGCTGGAACTTCTGCTCTATTCGTCAAGTGCAATCGCCACATCTCGTCTTCCAGACCATCGTGCTACCCTTTACGACTTGAACGTCTCTGCTCTTGCTGCATTTACAAACGACGTGCGTATGTACTTACGCGTGATCAATCGTTGTCGAATGCGAATCGGAAAGCATTTTCACGTGTCGCCTTACGCTGGACAGACAAAGCAGATATTCGAGATCGATTATGTGAACACATACGGAAGCGAAAAGAATGATCTGAATGAATACAATGAGGCATTATTGAAGCATAGTACTTTGAATTTACAGTATTGGCTGTTATTAACACGAGGAGTACAGAACGCTGCTGTCGGAAAAGATTTGTGGCAATATACTGCAAAACAAGGACAGCGTCTTCCGCGAGCCATGATGTCTCATCTGGATTTGTACCATTCTCGTGTGCAAGTGCAAGACGATATCCTCAAACCTTTATTGCACATAGCACAGGCTGCACATAGTGTTAGCGATAGTCGAAGAGGAATACAGCACGATCACGAAGACGAATATGAATACTTTGGACGTTTCTCTGAGAACATTGGTGGGAAAATGGACGTTTTTGGCGATTTAGAGGGTAAAAAGGAGTGGAGGAGAATAGTAGAAAGGAGAGTAGGGATTGGAAGCGAAGCTAGAGAATGGGGTATACCGCCTTTTTGGATGCTTGGAATCGCATAAACGTTAATTAATTAGTAGTTTATTATAATTGGATGATACATATTTTAATTATCTCCAAGAATGCAATAATATGCTGGTTCCCTTGCATTATTGCTTTGTATATTAATTTGTTTTACAAGCTGAGGATCTATGTTTATAGTTCTTCCGTCATAGAAGATTAGCTATAAAATTGAAAGAATAAAAAAAAACCAGGAATTCGGGGATAGTAATCCAATGGGAATTTCTTACGGATCAAAAAGTTCGGCTTTTATTTCGATAATAATTATCTGAAACTACCAAGTCAACCCCTTAATTCATTTGTAATCTCTTCCGCCGACTTGCAACGACTTGCGGTGATGTTTCTCTTGTGGAACACTCGCTTTCAGTCACATGGCCAATGCGTGAAGCACACTGCTCTTCCCTTAATATCTGTAAAATAAGCCCGCATAAAAGGGTCTTTTTAAGTTTGTTCATTTGTTGGGAAAATTAGCTTTTATTTGATTGACATTATACGAATATAAATTATTGACCGAGACTTGCAGTTTTAATCCATTCCGGTATTCACGATTATCAATATGACTCGGCAACATCATCGTCTTGAATGGTCAAATCTTCCATTAATTCATCCAACCGAATCTCAGGGAAATCAGCTTCCTCTTCCTCCTCCGTTTCCCCACTGTCGATTTCCATCTCGGTCTTTAAGTTCGACTTTTTATTTTTGTATAAATTAACCGATTGCCTTAATTCCGGATCTTCCTCCAAATCCCTCAAAAACATTTCGTAATCGACGTTATCTTTATCAACGTCGCCTCTCCTAATCCCTCCATCGCCTTCCTCTTTATTTAATTTCTGTAGCTTCCAATTTCTCGGTCTATTCTTGCGTCGTCGATTGGGATATGCTTTCTTTATTAGGATCACATCGGGAAGCGAGCTTCGCTCAAGGGAATCAAATGCAAAGTCGTTAAAGTTTGACGATGCAATATCGTAACCAAGGACAGTGTCACCGGCTTTCAAAATTGCCCCAAGATGAGAGCGGGCAAAGAAGACGGTGTCATTTCTGCCAAAATCGGACAAGCGAGCTACTTGTATGTCTGCAAGAACATACTATACAATGACAAAAATCAGTTAGTAAAGTGTTGGTTGTATGCCGAGACTATTGTTTGCTCGCACTCCTTGTTACCTTTCCCTGAGTTCTTATAGGTTCTACGTCTAAAACATAGTATTGTATCAAGTCTTTGGATGAAGCTAAAGACGAAAAAGGTGTCCGCCAATAGACTGCAGTTGGTACGTCTGTCGTTGATAACGTATTGGCATCCATAACATTGATGGAATTGGCTACGCGATAGCAGAATACCAATGGGCTACGAACATGGGTAAATAGAGTTAGTTGACGATCATACACTCCTCGTCAGCATTTCTCGTGTTGAATGCATCTACCTTATATTTCCTAGTGATTTGGCTGTCTTTGATGGTAAACATATTAAATCGTCTTTACATATTGGTATGATCTCAACCGAGTATGTGAATTTGTAGTTTGATGTATTACTATGAATGTCTGTTGAAATCAACTGCTCAGAAGTCTTCGTCCTTTATAAACATAAACTAATCGTCAGCCCTAAACCTCATACGATTCTTGTCTGGTCAAAAACTACACGCTCTTACCGTACAGGGATTACTGAAGTCAGAAATTCAACCATTTTGATAGCATGCGCTCTCTGCGAATAAAAGAAATCCAGCCCATCTTTAAGCTCTTTGATATTTATCGTATCTTTATGCATGCTGTGCTTCAATATCAACTGTTCTAAATAGAAAAAGGTCTTCTTGTGATTAACTTTTTGTCTCACTTGCACGATAGACTGCCAAGTATTTTGAGCCATCACTTTCGTGCAATCGCCACACTGCTGGTTACTGACAATATACTCTACTTCGAACGCTTGTTGTAATATAGTCGATGCATGGACTTCCTTTTGTATAGTCAATTTAACCTTGATTCGCTGTGAATGCGGCTCGGTCCAGATAAAAATCGCGTCTATAAGGCGTACTCTGTTCAAGCCCTTAAGACGTTTGAGGCAGAGAGACAGGAGCTCACGAGACTCGAGTTGAGCAGAGATCCACATGTTTGGTGGTTGCAGATATCGTTCGCATTTACGGCAGAAGTGGAGAACCGATTGTTTGGGAATACCCTCCGTTATGTCATATTCATTGCGAATGCAATTTATGCACATGTTCGAGGGATTTGGTGAGATTGTTGTTCCGCATTGGCAGCAGAGACTGGGTGAGAGTAAAAAGTTGCTCAAATTAGAGGTTTGTTCTTTTTCATTTGAGAGTAACGTAACCTTGAGAATGTTTTTTGATATGTCTGTCTTGTGAATTAAATCTGTGGAGAGCCTTTCCGAAACGTGTTCTTGTGTAGACAAGTATCTCGTCAAATGTAACGTCCATTAAACTTACATTAATTGTTCTGTCACAACCGGATTATATTGCATGTTTGCAGTTTGGTATGAAGTACGAATTAGAAGGCAAAGTAGATCTCTCCGGGCTTTTTTTTCTTTGGCGTAAAATTTTTGTGTGCCGCAGAAATTACGTATACCAAAATCGCGTTGCGTTGTAGGTTAGAATGTCTATGGTTCAGGGAACAAAGAAAGTACAATCCAGATTAAACATCACATACAGTACACGAGCAAGTAAAGGCTTTGAAATTTTACAAGCCGTAAAATTCGTCGACTTGTGTCATACAATCTCTACGAGACGTGCGGTCAAATCAATTCATTAGACTTGGCTAAAATTATAAGTTAGCACTCGGTACTTGCCAAAAAATTTATTAACGTATGAGAATTAGACGGTTTCATCAAACTCTCACACACCACAAGACGTCAGTCGCAAACCACAAACAATGCGCTGCAGGATAGCTTTTCGTCGCGAACGCTTTGCATTGTAAGGACAAACTAGTAAAGTTAAAAAATAGACGAGTGGTTCCATAATCATCATATACAATCCTACCAAACCAAAGTTTGCCCATTGACTAGAGTCTATTTCAACATAGAGCCAAGCATTCTGGTGCTGAACACGTTGGTCATGAATAATACAGCAACGACTTCAACCCACACTTTACAACTAACCACAAACTGAAGTAAGGTAAAAATGTATTCGTATGCCATGTACCTACCAGTGTGAGGAGAGTTTCAGCGAAGGCATTCAGATTCTACGCGTTTTATACTGTGTGCTGCTTGAATAACCCATAATTGCCTCAGACGTCTATAGTAGATGTCGTCACACATCTAGGGAGTGGTTTCTAAGAAACGACAATCACACTTTTTTTATTATATCAACCAATTATACCACTAAACCAATCACGAGTCACACAAAAAAAGTAGTGTGCTTCTTTTAATTCGCTTTAATAGTTGGGTAATTAACTTGTGCTAAATCAAAATAAACATACACAATTTTTGCTTTGATTGCCACCTACGGAATACAATAGCTGGAATCAATGCAGCGCGCTTACTTGCTTTATGCCATTAAATCTCTTGACGTCATGCTACTTGTAAGCAACGTCTATAAGTCAATGATAAAAATTAGCAGGAAACTTGTGAGTTCACAATTTGCAAGTAATATTTTCTAGTCATGTATATAATGGAACTTCAAATTCAATAAATACCTGAATTATGCATGGCAAGCTACATGGAGCAGGAAACAATACTCATTCTTAATTATTTTCACAAAGATAGACCGAAGGTATTATTGCTTGTGATTCGATTGTGTAGACACCATCCTAAGGTAAAAAACAACGCGACACAAAAATATATTTCGTGAGAGAAGGAATAATAACGATCGATTTGAAACAACATGATACAACCTTTGTGATTCAGAAAGTATCCATGCATATCAAACCCGAAAGTAAGCCATTAAACAAACTCTATTTAGGGTTTGGTTTCTATAAACGAGAGCAACCCGCTCATCACCTGTTAAACGTAAAACTATCCTTTTTTGACAAGAATGAGTTGTCAGTCAAAAGCAACCCTTAACAGAAATTGATACATCGTTTGCGTTAGTTCAAAGAATATGTGCTATGTACAATAGACATTTTTATCTCCTTGTATATATAATTTCCCGGTCATCGGCTACCACGTACGATTGCGTAAACAATCGTTGTATTATATCTTATTAGTTTGAAATATCAGCGAAAGTATAATAGATCGAGAAAAATGTAACAATACGAAAGTTAGCTTACATGCAGTGTGATTTATCGTAAAACATGTCGATAGCTGGTTCGCGTTATAATGTTAAGCCAGTTTTGCGTTCAACATTCCGGGGTAATGTAGAACTTCAAAGCATGACTATCAACAGATTAGCCTCCTGATTTTCACCTTTTGATAAGGACCGCCCTCGACATGCAATCATCGTTTTATTGGCAATGCCTGCTAAAAATACAAATAAATATATAGTAATAGAATAAATAAATTCAGTGTTTAGCAGATTTAATTGAACTTTTATTATTATTATCAAACCCTTACACCACAAAACGCATCACTACAATCGCCGCAGAATACTTTTCGTGAATGGTTTGTATTGTAAGGGCAAGCTTCTTCAGCTCGAGCGCAACATCAACCATAGGCAGTCAAAAATGTATTTGTTGTCACTAAATTGATCTAATAAATAAAGACGATTTTTACTCACGTTGTAAATACCAGAGTGAGAAAATTTGGTGAGTATGCTGCTCTTAGCCGTCCGTAGACATTGTTACCCGCTCACCGCGTTGAGGTGACAGCATTTCGAGTGGGAAAAAAATAAGCCCATGTGAGGCATAACACTTCTAAACAGATTACTATAATTTGAAATAACCCAATCATTGAACAGAATGCAACCTCGCCTTCCTAGCAATCTACAACCACTGCACAAACGCCTACGTCTTAATAAACCTACTATAATCAATCATTACAACTCTTCCTCATAAAGTACTTTACTTTATCCTAATACCAGATTAAATTTATCAACACATAAGTCCAATATCCCTCTACCTAAAGTAATTAACACTCCTTTTAAAATAATAACCAACAATTACAGTAAAATAAAAAAAATACATTCAAACATTCTACATCAACCCAATCTACAAGAAACACTAATACTAATCTTAACATAATCTCTGCGAAGCAGATTTTAAGCCTTACTAGTTATAAATAAAGTTATAAGTATTAACGATGGCATGCATGCAATTATTTGTTATTGTTTGTTTTACGATGACCGATGTCAATCTTAAACGTTTTCTTAAATTCGTTCAATGGAGAAATTCGGCTGCCTAAACTCGTGATAATCGATACAGATTTCTAACATTCCTGTAGTTTTAAATTTTGGCAACATAAGCTTTATTTATTTAGAATGTCTTGAAGTGTTATCCGTCACTTCTACGAACCTGTAAACAACTTTCTATCAACTTTTAATATTGGAGCCTTCTTTGAAAACTTAGACAATTTACCAGATATTAGCACCATGCCTTACGAAATGCAGCATTTTGACTTCAACAAAAATAATCTTTACCTTTGCCAATCAGCACTAGCATATATGTGTTTCGTTTCATTCCATTTATTACTAAAGAATTATTACTCTTTGCTGATAATAAACTTAACTACAGAAGCTTTGGTGTGCTCTGCCGCCGTCGACCGGACGTACTAGTACCCAACCATGACGTTAACTAAATAAATTATATAGCCAACTCAACAGAACTAGTCTTACAGTACAATCACGAATTACTGAGAAAATCCTAATCTGCAAAAAGCCAGAAGACGCGGAAAAGTTACAGTAAGAAAAAATAGTAACATTTAACGCATTATAATTTCTGAATGCAATTTTTTCCTTCTGGCAAAAGTATAACAATCACTGCATAAATACTTACATTTTTAATAAACTTACTATAAGCAATCGTTAGGGCTCTTTTCATAAAGTATTTATCTACTTTTTCTTTAATGCCGGATTAAATTTATCAATACTATAGATTCCAATGCTTTCTCTGCTTATATTTATTTTAAATGGTTACAATTATAGTAAATAAAAAAAATTGTATATTCGAACTATTTTAAATCAACCTGTCTACAAAAAATACATTAATTTTAATATAAATCTCTGCAAAGCGGATTTTAAGCTTTGCTAATTTAATTAATGATTTACTTATACTCTGCCCGGAAAAGACAGCTAACTGTAAATATGCATAACTTTATTTCAACGTCTTGTTAACTCATCCATGTTGACATATTAATATGTAAAAGAACATTGTTAATTCGAACTTTTGAATAAAATTTGTATAAACTGTAAATTGCAAGTTTATTCAAAAAGAGTTTGAGTTGCCAAATTATCAGAATGAAAGTGTTAACATTGTAATATGTAAGCTGGCTTTATTTGTATCAACATCTGCAAGGCCCAAATCCATATAACATGCAGGGAAATGGGCAAGATTCAGGCAAAAAAACGAAGAGATGGTATCATCAACATTACTAACCGCATTAAAAAACTACAATCCTCTCCCTCCCCCAACACATATATTATAGCAAACCTAACAAGAAAGCTCAAGGAGTTAGAAGAAGCCACCTCCAAAGCCTATGCCATCTGTTCCAGAGTCCGGTGGTATGAAGAAGGAGAGACCAGTTCCAAATACTTCTATCAACACTTTAAACACAAACAACAAAAAGGATCCATCAGCTCCCTCAAAATCCCATCAACCATTCCACCTCAAATTCCTACCAGACACATCCCTCCTAACACTCCAATAGCTGTCTCACCCTCTACCAAATCTACTTCCACCATGAATCCTCAAAGATCAAGTCCATCCTTAAGCTCTCCCAACTCAGTATCTCCTCCCTCTACCCCCCACACCACAAACAACACAACCATCTCCTCAGACATTACACACATCCTAAACCATGCAACAGACTTCTACAAACAGCTATGGGACATATCACCTATACTGGAGGACACCCCTCTCCAAAACTATATCCACTCTGTCACTGAAGCCACAAAACAAGAACTTGCAAAGCCTTTCACAACACAGGAAGTCCTAACTGCAATTGGATCCAAAGAAAATGGCAGTTCTCCAGGACCTGATGGAATCCCCTATGAGCTATATAAGTCC